ACTTGAACTGCAGTCAGCCATGTGGGAGTCCAGCTCTTTAACCACTATGCCACCTGTTGGCCCTGAAAACCAGTTTTTAATGAGACAAATACAATGGTCACCAGAAGAGAGCAAGTAGAAATGGTTAAGAACCAGGGATTTAAAGGTTAATGGAACTGAATTAAAATTTAGTCCCACCGTCGGGGACCAGCAGTTAGCGTAATGATGACGTAATGGCTATGTCACTGGACTCCCATGGCGTCGACTGCGGTTCGCATCCCAGACCCGGTGGCTTAAAAACACTCACGCCAGGCATGTGTGCATGCGTGCCCAAGATCCCGAGAGGAGAATGGAGGAGAAGGGATTGCGGCATGGCCATCCCCCTTGGGGGGTGATTTCTCACTTTCTGTTTCTCTGTCTCTCTGTCTGTCTGGCAAGTGCATGCTCCCTATAGCCAAAACCTCTCCAAAAAAAAAAAAAAAATTTAGTCCCACCATCTACTGTGTACCCCTAGACAAATTCTTTGACTTTTCTGAACCCAGCCAGCTGTATGTAAAAAGGGAATGATAATAGACACTCTCTCTCTTGAGGTTACTATGAGAAATCATGCAAAATGCCTAACATCAGGCCAGACAGAGAGTAAACAACTAATACATAGTAACTGTTACTGTAATACGTTTAAAATAGTGAATAACATTTCTGAGTCATTTCAAAATCAGGTTTCCTTACACAGTATTGAAAAATATATAGATTTGTTCATTATAAAAATACAAATAGTGAGAGATGTAGAAGAGTGTCCTCGCCAGAAAGATTCCCTGGGGTGAAGAGCTCATTACCCCAGCAGCTGCCTAGAGTCTGGCTGCTAAAGACTCTCAGTTGATTCCCACTTTGGGAAGTGCCTTCAGCTAAGGGTAACCTACACTGCCCTCAGCCCTCCACTGAACTGCCTCACCTAAGGGTTCACCCCATCCTGGCTGATGCTACAGTACAAAAGCCAACCCTCTTGTTTCAATTTCAAATCATTTTGAAGGGTTGCCGTAGCTCCAGAACTCCCTGCAAGATGACCTCTGTGGAAACTTCTGCTTCCTTCATTTCCTCATAAAAAAATAAACTTGCTCATCAGTCTCCATCCCAGAGCCTGCTTCCTCAGTGAACCGAATTAAGTTGAGCCACCACTATCTGGATAAAGCACTGCTGTTGGGCAGGGTTGGCAAAGTTCTCCTGGAAAGGGCCAGACAGTAAGTGTTCCAGGTTTTAGTGGGCCAGATATTCTCTGTCACACCCACTTGATTCTGCCATGCTACTGTGAAAGTGGCCATAGACAATCCGTAAACAAATGAGTATGGCCGGGTTCCAGTAACACTTTATCAACACTGAATCTGAATTTCATAAACTTTTACAACTCACAAAGTATTGTTCTATTCTTTTTAACCATTTAAAAATGGAAAAAATCATTCTTACCTTACAGGAGTTCAAAAACAGGTGGCAGGCTAGATTTGGCCACAGTTTGTCAAACTCTAAGCTATAGGAAAGGGGAAAAGCAGTGAAGTCCTCATGAAGCTACTGTTCGAGTGAATATGTTCACAGGATTTGATATCATAGGACTCTAGGGTTTACGACCTTGTTTCGAGAATATGGAAGGCCCCTTCCTGGCTCAAGGTCAAGAGAGCATAGAGATATGGAAGAGAAAAAACGGGAAAAAGTAATATTTATAATTTATTTTGAAGCTTAATACCACCAAAAAACTCATATCCAGCAAAATAAAACCAAAAGACTTAATGTTGATGACATGATGCTTTTTCCATTTGGAAAACTTCATCTGTACCAATAAAGAGAATTAGAGGATTGAATGGTTATTTTGTGGCTACAGCTGCAGCGAAGTAAGCTCTCAAAAATAAATACACAACTGCAATTTGCTACAGTTTTCATATTTATAAGGAATATATCTTTAAATGATCAACTGATACAGAACACAGAGATACTATACAAACATGTATTTTGAAAAGTATTTGAACCTGTCTTTCTACACAAATATAGCAGCCTTCAACAGTCTATTTCCCTAAAGGAGAAACAACTTTGAGAAATCTATTTGGGTAACAAATACAGTCTTAGTTCTCTGTCCTGAAATCTTTTTGGCTTTTTTGTTTCACCATAATATGTTACTTTCTTATTTGGCCTGCCCCCCCCCCCCTTTTTTTTATTTCTAAACCCTTTTCAATGAATCATAATCTTATGTTGTTTGATCATTTCTATTTTTGCTTTGCTTGCTATAGAAATACCTCTTTGATATCATTCCTTCTGGCTCCTTTTCCCACATTCCTTCTCAGGTGTACTATTCTGAGATTTGCCCTTAATTCAAACTAACTTCCAGCTAATCTTTATTTCCCTAGCTCTTAACACCCCTTCACCACCTCCCTGGCACATTCTCAGAATAAATGAATAAAGTGTTGCTTTGGGTTTGAGTCATTGAGACAGAGGAATGGAAGCATTCTCTCTATGGGTTCACATTGCTATACTGAGAAATATGGAGACTAGGAGTGCTGATTTCCGTTGACGCCAACTGTAAGAGGCGGCTAATGACTATATCTCTGGCTTTTGACGTCTCCAGGTTCTTCTCTTTAGACACTTGAAGACTAATTTGGTCCACATTTGTCATGATGAGTTCAGATGCCAGAATCTGAGTTGGAGAACTGTCATGAAACATGGTGTCCATGAAGTACTGCTTATATAACTCCACCACTTTCTGTTCCAGGTACTCATTCAGCACTGCATTAGAAACAGGCTTCTGCATCTGCAGGCTGTTCTTCTCTTTGATGCTGGTTATTCTCCAGTAAGATGAGTACCGCTGGATAGGTTTTTGGGGAAAGTTACTGGGCTGAGTGGAAATGGACTCCTCCATGGACAAAGGAATCTCAGACGACTTCAGCAAAGGGCCATATTCAAAACTGCTCTCCGAGGGAAAATCTGTCGTCACTGAATTGATGGCCATCACCTGGCCCCCTGCAATATGTAAGTCATTATAATTCTTACAAATACTCTTGCAGGAAGGGGGAACCAAGTAGGTCTCTCTGCTGGGGTCTCTACATATTTCAACTGCAGCCAAGTTTGGGCTTTCAAACACAGGATTGTGGTTCTTCTGCAGCACTGTGACTCTCTGACTTCTGCTGTGTTGGCTCTCTCTTGAATGTACTGAAGAAAAAAACTTGCCAGAGGGTTTGCAGCTCACGTAGAGACTTCTCACTTGTGTTTCATCCACAGAGGAATAGGACAGAGCAGCAACGGAATCCGTCTCCTCTTCCTTTTCCCCAGCCACCTGCTCATTATACGATACACAACTGCAGTGGATGTCGTTCCAGTAGGCAATTCCACTGAGATACCCTTCTGACAGCATTCTGGAAAGAGAGTCGATGAGTAACAATGGGGATAAAGAAGACTGGAATTTCAAAAATTAGCAGATGTTATATCAATTCACTCATTTTCCTTTATTCAGAATATGTCCTGGAAATGCCTCTGAGCCCAACTGACGTGTTTACCTCCACCCTAGTTACCAAAGAGTTTTCCTGACCATGG